GTTTCTACCCTGTTTGATGATGTCCAAGCCTAGTGCTTGGAACTTTATTAATACTCAGTTATTGAGTTTTGCCCTAGTTGGGTGACAGGGTTTAGGAGAATATTTTCAGTTGAAAATTTTGATGGAGAATTTCGATTATGTCTTTGTTGAAGAGTTGCAGTTTATTCATTGTAGTGGAATTTGTTTCTGAGTAAAGAATCTTTGAAGTTTTGTTCATTGTAGTGGAATTCGCGTTAGGGTGGAGTTTGTTAGAATTAGGGCGTGACCTAAATTCTACTTAGAATGTTATTTGGAACCAAATTCGAAATTTATTTGATAAATTCTAGTTGAAATTCTAGTTGGAAGCTCAATTGAGAGTTTTGAATTCGTGTTAGAGTTGAAAAGGTCAACATATGTGCTAGGAGAAATTTTTGACGCTTTTTCACCAGCTTACCGCTGAAATGACGCCATTGAAATACTATACAAAGAGCTAGTGCTAGCTCCAAGCTTGAGAGGCGCCACTTATATTGCCCATTTGGCACCCAATTAGCACTCGAGTAGTGGCTCGTCCGTTCCAAACTCATTTTCACATTAGCATTTCTTTCTATATATAACTTTACTTTTAGGGTTTGATGCATTCCCTAAATATATTTAGTTCTTCATTGTATTTTAGATTATGTTAGATAAAGTTGCAAGCACGAAATCTTTGCATTCTTTTTCCATGTTCTAGTGAATTTTTCATTACTTCGCAAATTATTATTGTGTTCTTGCGATCAATTACTTTATATTATGCCTATAATCTCGTACTTTTTTCGATACAAATTAGTATCGGAGCAATCTGATATTACCTTCGTTTTCAATATTTTTCTACTTTTTAACCATACATTATTCTAAAATCACTATTCAAAACATTGTTTCCCTAAATAATGATTTTCAAACAAGGGCTAAGTTTATTGGCTAAATGTTGACATTTTAAAAGTTTGCAAACCATTTATAAACATGTTTTATAAATTCATTTCATCTTATTAATCAAAATGTAAGGAAGTAATAACCTCTAAAGAAGCTAGACTAAGGTCTAATTAAAAATGAAGCAAATTATTGATTGTATCATAGAAGACCCTTATGCCCTCATCCCAATCG